AATAAACATAGGTATTAGTGTTATGTGAAAAATGTTCAGATATAAATTTTTATAAAATATTTTAATATATATATATATATATATACTATACAGATATGTAATATTCTTATCACCATTGAAACTGTTTAAATTCAACTGTTTTCTTTAAATCATGAAATATTTTTTATTCATTTATTATATTTTTCATATTATTTCTATTAAAAATATAAATACTGTAAAATAATTTAATTGTTTACTCACTATAATACAAAATATGAATGACTACAATATTTTAAATAATGTAGTAAATTTTCTAAGAATTGTTCAATATTACCTAATGTCTGAAAACTTTGATGAACATTTGTATTTTTCATGTTTCAATCAATTAAATATAAATTAAACTTACTTAATAATCAATATTACTATAGCCAGAAATTTGAATTCACTCGTTTTAAGGTTTCTTTTGTTACAAAGTTTGCCAACGAATGCAAATGTACTGTAAACGAATGAATTGAAACTTTTTTATGCAATTAAAAAAGTAATTTATTTTTTGAATATGAATAGTATGAAAATTCTAATGTTTGCAATTCACTTGCACACCTAATAATTTCTGAGTAAAACGAAGAATGGATTGGCTTAATCATAATGTTTTTTTCATTTTTCTGAAAAGTTTCATGTAACATCTTGTTTGATTTTAAAAGGTAAATCTAGACCACTAATTTTGAACTTTTCAGTAGTTTTTGCACAGTCTTAAGGTTTAAAAAAATTCACTAAAAAAATCTGGATTTATTTAAGGAAAACCATTTTTATGGATAGATTGTATGAAATATGTAATGTAGTTTATTTGTCGCCGAAATGATTTTTTTTTTTATCATCGTTAGTGGTACCGAATTACAAAAAACGCACTATGGTAAATATTAAATTTTAATAGTATCTACTTACTACCCAGTACCCTCCCACCCATAATATTGGTCAGTTATCATAATTCTTAAATTGTTAGTACATGATACATGATACTGGTGTCGACCGTGCGGCGTAACCAAACGATCAGCCAGTGGATATGACCACAAAATCTACAACAGGATTCAAAAATAAATATATTATACAATCGTATTATATCGTATTATAGTATTACACTATCATAATGCTACATATATTATTGTACGTCGCTATTACGACTACGACTTGTATTGGCGTTATCGGCATATCGTAACGGATTTGTTTTTATGTAATTATGTTAAATAGTTTCAAGTTTTTATTAAACAATGTTGTTTCTATCATGAATAATTTTATACTTTCATAATACTTACATACATGGTATGTGAACCAAGCTATGTATCCCACGAGTCACTTACCCACTATCCAGTACCCCCACCTCCCTTCAACATAGTCCATTACAGTTAAATTATTAGATGAACTGCTTTGGTTAAAATTATTTTATAAAAAATATGTTAGTATGTATTTTAAATTTTATCGTAATCATTTTTTAAATACTACAATTTTCCATTACTTTTAAATGTACACGATTTTAAATTATGTCGATGTTTGATTCTTAACTTTTTAGTAATCAATATGTTGGTCCAAGAAGAATTATGGTTATAGATTTAGTATTTTGAATATCATTATATAGTAGTATAATTTATAGCCAAAACCAATTCTGACTTATAAAGTTCCTTTAATGAACAACTGATTTACTGTTATTATTATTATTATTATTATTTACTGACCGTAGCAACATTATCCAAGAATTTTCCTAATAGTATTAGTTAATTTGTGCTAGCCAACTTTGCAATAATATCACATAGTATTCATCACAAATTTCGAAAAATTCTTTTTTTCAAAAAAATCATGTAAAATATTTATAAATAATTTATCCAATTGCAGTAGATAAAATTTGTTCCTTAATGTAATATTATGTTAGTACAGTCACATAATAATATTATTAGATAATGTAGATTTTTACATTAAAAATATTTTCCCTTTACGGGTTATGATACAAACGATTTTAAATAAACGATTTTAATAAACGATATACATTGCATTATTCATCGATAAAGTATATTAAATAGAACGAGCTTTGTATATCCTCTGTAAAGTGTAGTAGACCGTGAATAATATGTGTTATACAAATATAAAAGTATTGCTCGTTGAAACAATCTTAATATTTTAATCATTTGAAACCCATCGTTTTTATAATTATATTTTATATTTTCTATAATGTCCGGTTTTTTTAAAAAAATTTTTTATTTTCTGATCGGGTTTAAGCTGGAAGAGGGTTGTTTTCAATCATAACATAATATTTTATAATAAATAGATATAATATAGTATAATAATAGTATACACAATAATAGTGGTAAAAAAATAAAAATAAAATATATTTTATTAAAATATAAAATAATTATTCAGTATTATATTGTGACAGCTATTACGTGGATCAATCGTACGATTCATCATCGAGGTTTTAAAATAAATACGCGAGCGATGGCGAACGAGAATGGTTATAAAGTTAAACGACAGTCTGGGTGGGGGGGGGAGTGGACACGATGTAATTACGAAACATTTTAAATTGTCTGTTGCATCGTGTCTGCGAAAAACTTAAGTGCAAGTTGGCCCAGCCGGTTCGTTAAGTACAAATCGTGGGGCGACAACGTACACTCTATATTTAAAGTAACGGTATGTACTCGCGATGAGAGTATTACATCGGAGTACGCTTACATTATGCTAAGGCGTACCTATCACGAAAGCGTTCCGTTTTTGAGTGGCTGTTGTAAAACATCATCTGTCCGATTTCGTATTATATGCACCAGAACGGCTTTACGTGAACTTCTAGGTATTTTATTTTATTTTTTTTTTTTTACGGTTTAATGACACGAGTGTAATGCGAATTCATCCCGTCCACTGATACCTCATCTGTTACTCGATACACCCGTTTTATATTACCGGAAGGTAGACACACTCAGTCGATAATGTATGAACGTTCAGTACCTACCCACCATAGCCTTTGTGCTGTGGTCATGAAATACATTATATTCTTAAATCACCAATTGTTGTGGAGAATCGTGAAAAAAGTCAGAAAAATAATAATACAAAATAGCAATTATTGAAATATAATGGTTTCAAAAGTCTACAATTTGATTTTTGAATCATACACAATCATTTATCATTGTTCTGCGCAACGTTTTTTTTTTAACCACTACGAGTCCACGAGTCACAAGCTTTTATTAATGTTATCCAGTTATGAGATCACTTCAAATTATTTTAAAATAAATATATAATTTTAGTAAATAATTTATTAGTATGAATAAACTCAAGATGATTTTTTTTCATTACTTTGATTGGAATATAAAATATGAGTATCTATAATAGATTTTGTTATTTTAAATTATCTTAATTTTGTAGTTTTTTACAAATAACTCATAATCATAACTATTATATATATATATATATATATATTCTAATAATGTTCTATTAATGTGACAATTTGTTAATAAATAATATAGATTGATACATTATTCGGAGGTACCACTCTCAATTTTAAGAATTAAAAAATAAAAACAAAGAGTATTTTTGATTAATTAGGTTTACATTTAATTAAAAAACATTAATCATTTATATGATAATAATTCTTATAATTAAAACAATTAAAAATCTAAAATGTATGATAGGCATAGGAGAATATTTGTATTTTACTAATAAATATTCGACATAAATAATTTGAGCGATGTATGAATATGATGTATCACTGAATAAAAATTAATATTATTATTACTACAATATTTTTTGATGCCTACAAATTATTTATAGTAGAATTAAATGTTGATTTATAATATACACTGTGAAAATGCTGTAAATCATTTCAGTATAAAATTCGAAAGTTGAATTATTGGCATTTCGTATGAATTCAGCTATCCAGCTATTCGGGAAATAAATAGAGAAACATGCAACAACAATATAAAAGCTTTTTATAATTAATTAAAGCATTACGGTCTACTACATAAATATATTTAATAACATTTTCATTGAAATACCGATACTTGAAGTTTTAAATTTGTTATAAGTTTCTGTACATTAAATAGTTATATAAGTGAATAGGATTTTGTGAGATTTTTAGATTCGTTTCTTGAATAATTCCCACGTATAATATGTGCTCTTGAAAATTTGAAAATATCTTATATTTTTAATTAAATATAATACATGTAATTTATTTTAAAATAGTTATAGTAGTAGGTAGCATTTAATTAGATATTAAACTGTAACATTCCAAATAGTTAATTAATAAATTGAACGTTTATCAGATATGCGGAATAGGGGGAAGAAATGATACATGCACCCCTTCTTACTTTTTTATATTTACTATATTATGTAGTTATATTAGTTATATAATATTGTCACCTTAATTTTTCTAGAAATATTTGGTCTTTGGTATGTTTTGATGTAATTATGTTAATGAACTATTTGGCTGTTGGAGATATTTTTTACTTGTTACAAATTTTGTAATTCGTCTTTTTCAGATGTTTTTAGTTATCTTAGATATTTTCAATCTAAATTGACACATTTTACAGTAAATACTCGTATAAATAAATGTTTCTATACTATATCACCATCACACTAAATTTTTTAAAATTAACTTGAAAATTACACAAATGTCATTGTTTTTCTGTTACGTGTTTGAATGTTATGAAAAGAGTAATTCTCCAAAATAATTTCACTTACAAGTAATAGAACACAATTATCACTTTAATTTACTGCATGTAAAATCTGACAGAAGAATTGCTCATTGGACAACAATTTTTTACATATAATAGTTATGTATAGAAAAAAATAAAAACAAAACGTGTCAGATGAGTTTAATAGTAATATTTCAAATTTCAAGTTTGTTTAAGTTATCATATAATATATTTATGTGCGATTTATGTAAGTGTAATTTACTTGATCTGTAAATAATTTTACTGTTGCGTGGTTTACCACGTGAAAACGTGATTTTCAATTTCCATGCACTTTACACATTGTTTACATTTCAGAATGGATTGATAATGAAGACTGTGTGCCTACGTGTCAGTTTCTACATAATCACCATCATTTTATCGTGTAAGTAGTCTGTCACTATATAATCCATAGAAAAGGTTATTTCCATATTGATGAAACCTAAACTGAATGGGATAACTAGACTAGTCTGAACATTAATTGCTTTGAACATTAATCAATATTCTGCGGTCGGATTTCCACGGTTGTAGTTTTGTCGACAGGAAATTACCCGCAGTCAATTTCCCTAAAACGTCAGCGATGTCTGAACATCCTTTTTCCATATATAAGCTGTTTTAGTTCACCATTATTGCCAATTAAATTAAGCACCACAAATCACCAGTACCAGTCGAGTTATTGATATTGGATGCCCGAGCAAACAATATCAGATACCACTGATATGGTTATTAATATTACAAAAATTAATTCAATTTTATTTCATTTTTTTAATTTAATTTCAGTGTGTCAGGCGAACAACGAGCTAATCGGTCCTACATTTCGCCTATTGCCACCATTTAACGTTCAATTTTCCAACGATACTGGAACCAAGATTGATTGTACCGCGTTCGGAAATCCTATGCCACAAGTACAATGGTATCTAGGTACGTGTCTTTGGCATATAAACAAAATTGTACGGGTGACTAACTAGATAATATTTTTTTTAATATACTTAGAGGATGGTACAAGGGTTATGACTTTACCAAATCTCAGGGTGGTGCATCAGAATGGAAGCTTAATATTTCTTAGCTTTGGTCCAAGTTCTTACATGCACGATGTACATAGCGCCCAATACAGATGCAAAGCTAGTAATGCAGTAGGTCAAATAATTAGTGGAGCCGTTCATGTTAGTGCTGGTAAGATAATGAACATTTTTATTTTCAATAATCAATCCTTTCGGGATGAGAAGTTAAAATTGTTTTCAGTTAAAAAAATTTTATAAACCTTAACTATATAATCATATACACTTAAAAGTTATTTAACTTTTAGTTATGAATCAAAATTATGACGTTCAAGTTTATTCCGAATACGTTACTATTGGTAATACAGCACTGTTACGATGTCATGTTTCCGCGTATGCTTCTAATTACGTAATGGTTACCTCATGGACACAGGACGAAATAACTCACTTTTATCCAAGTGTAGATTCTGGTGGAAAGTATTTGGTTCTAGGAAATGGTGATCTATATATTAGTAACGTCGACTCTAGTGATGGATATAAAAGCTACACATGTAGAACGGTTCACAAGTTAACTGGTGAAACCAAAACTAGTTCTTTTCCTGGACATATCACTGTGAACGGTACTTTAAATTAGTTTCTGAGTTTTTTTTTTTTTTTTTTTTTTGATACTTTATAAAAATAATTTCAGAGCCTACTGGAAATCAGCGACCAAGAGTCGTTGTGGAAACTGATAGTAGGAAACACATAAGAGTGGGAGAAGATCTTATACTGTCTTGTTTATCCCAAGGATTTCCGGTGCCTACTTATCGATGGTATAAAGAGAATGGAGACGTATTGAAAGCCTTAGCACACGATCCGCGTTTATCGGTACCAATAAATGGACTGCTTAAAATTGAAAAAATACGACTAGATGACGACGGAAAATATGTGTGTATATCAAACAATAGCGTTGGTGAAGAAACAGTGCATCATAGCATTTTCGTTACCGGTAAGTCGAACGATTTTTACAGATCTTATTAAATCATCATTTATTTGCTATTATTTTTTTTTAATATACATATATATATATATATATATATATATATCTATAATTTTTATAGCAATATATATTTAATTTACAACCATATGAAATCTGCCATTAATTTGTTTCAGAGCCTCTCTCAGTCAACATACTTCCACAAAAAATAGTTGGTTCGTCGCTTTTAGATTCTACAAAGTCTGCTCAGTTTGAATGTACAGTGAATGGGCATCCAATAAATAGAATAATGTGGTATAAAAATGGACAACCTCTAATGCAACTAAGTGGAAGAGTACGTGTGACATCATCGTTACACAAACAAGTGTTGGTGATATCTCCTTTGAGTAAAGATGATCAAGGGATGTACCAGTGTTTTGGAACTAACGATTGGGATATGGCTCATGATAACACTCAATTACTTCTCGGTGGTAAATTTTAAATTATAATATAATTAAATGAAATCCAATCTAATTTCATCTGTACAATTGCAGATATTGGACCTGAACTTGTATATTGGTTCACCGAGCAAACTTTACAACCCGGACCGTCTTTATCTTTAAAATGCGTGGCATCGGGAAATCCTTTACCACAATTCACGTGGACTTTAGATGGATTTCCTATACCCGAATCGAATAGAATTTTGGTGGGCCAGTACGTGACAGCTCACGATGATGTCATTGCTCATGCCAACATAACTTCTTTAAAAGTTGAAGATGGTGGAGAATACACGTGTACCGCGCAGAACGAAATTGCTAAAGTTTCACATTCTTCTAGAATAAATGTTTATGGTGTACCATTCGTTAGAGAAATGCCAAGTATTCATGTAGTTGCAGGAAAACAACTTGTTGTTAAATGTCCTGTAGCGGGTTATCCGATTGAATCTATTACTTGGGAGCGAGGTGAAGTATATAGTTTTAAACTTCTTATTGACATTTTATTTGTAAATATACTTTTTAGATGGATTTATATTACCGGTTAATCTTCGTCAAAAAGTCTATAGCAATGGAACTCTAACAATCGAACAAGTTCAACGACAAACAGATGCTGGAACTTATACGTGCCAAGCGAAAAATCACCATGGTCATTCGTCGAGGAGAGATGTAGACATTCAAGTTTTAAGTATTGAACCAGATCACTTGATAACAATTGTGAATATGTTTTTTTTATTCCGTTTTTATAATTGATTTTCAGTTCGGCCGAAAATTTTACCAATTCCTCCTATGACTAACCTTTTAGCCGAAGGCATGCGTGCGGCGATTTCGTGTCAAATCGTAGAAGGCGATCTTCCAGTAATGTTCACTTGGACAAAATACAGCGATGGTGTAAATCACGGTTTAGGCCTCGGAACAATAACACGAAATCACGATGAGTATTCTTCATCATTAATTATTGAACGAATTACAGCTGAACACGCAGGAAATTACACGTGTATTGCAACAAATGCAGCGGGAGAAGAAAAATTTACTGTACCTCTAACAGTAAATGGTTAGAGTTATACATTTGTTCTTATTTTAAATTTTTTTGACACGAAATATTTATTGGATTTTAGTACCACCAAAATGGACTGTTGAACCCGAAGACACAAATGTTATTATGGGTTATCCTTGTATGTTACATTGTCAAGCAGAAGGGTATCCTTCACCGGTAATTGTTTGGAGAAAATCATTTGGTAATTTAAATTAAACAAGAGTAACAATTTTATTCTACTTATCGTGGATATTCTAAAAAAAAAAAATTACCATTGTAATAAAAAATATTAAATAGCTATGCATTTGTTGATCTGTAGGTGATTCGATTGGTGAGTATAAGGACTTTTTATATGAACCAAACGTGAATTTCTTCAGAAATGGAACTCTGGAGTTTCTTCATACTAGTAAGGCAAACGAAGGGAAGTATATGTGTGAAGCAAAAAATGGTATTAGTCCAGGATTGAGCAAAGTTATAAATTTAAAAATAAATGGTAAATTTATTATTTGTTTATTAAAAAATGTATGTGATTGAAGCGAATTTTATAATATTAAGTCTTATTTCTTTTTAATGTATTTGTAGCTCCTGTGAAATTTATTCAAAAGACAAAACAAATTCAGGTAAAACTCAACAGTGATGCTCATATACAGTGTATTGCTGTTGGAGATAAGCCATTAAAAATAACTTGGAAGGGACCAACTAATTTGTCAATATTGAAGGATGTAGATCGAAGGTAAACACTGATTTTCATTCTAATATGCGAGTAATAAAGTTCAAGTAGAATGGTTTTTAAATTATTAAATTTAACCAAATAAAATAAATGTTTTCCTTTGATAATATTGCAATTTTTCAACATAGGAAAAATTATGTTTTTCGATTAAAATTAAAAATAGATTAGTTTGTATTTCGTATTTTAGTGTAATATTATTTAGAAGACAAAATAATTTAATTAAATATTTCTTTTTTCCATCAAATTCTTTTAAAGCACACTGGTTTTTTCGTTTTTAAATCTATCTATGATTTCGGCATTTTTTTTTCTCTTGTATTATACACAATATAAAATCGGATTAGGACAATAAGGAAAATATCGTACGATAAAAATATTTCTTAGATCATAAATTTGATAATAATAAAATTATATTTAAATTTCAAATGAAACTATACTAAATTAATAAGTATTTCATATGAATATATACTAAAAGTTAATATATTTGTGTGTACATTCAAAATATTCACATTATGGTGTATTTTAATTTTGTACCGTTTTCAGATTTACTGTACGGGATCAATCAAAGGACAGCGGAATAATATCTGAAATAACAATATCTCCCGTTTACCGACATGATTCGGGTATTTTTAAATGCACAGGAAACAATTACTACGGGCAAGATGAATATTCCGTCGAACTTATAGTGCAAGGTATGCCAGTGCGCATTAGTTACAGATAAATGCGGTTGGTACATTTATTTGCTTGGGATATGTTTAAAACAGAGGTGCCGGAGAGTCCGAAAGACATAAGAATCGTGAACCAACAGAGCAGATCGATGGAAATTACATGGAATCAACCGTACAACGGGAACAGTGTTATACTGAATTACATAGTTCAATACAAACTGGTGGCATGTAGGTGATAAACAGGTTGAAATCAAATTGATCCCTAAATATGGTTATTTTACCAGCGTTGTGGATAGCAGACCCGGCAAAGGTGATAGTTGCCGGTACGCATACCGTTACGGTCATTGAGGGATTAACGCCGGCGACATCTTATCATATCCGAGTTATAGCGGAAAACGCTATAGGATTAAGTGAGCCCAGTGACGAGATGCAAGCGATTACACAAGAAGAAGGTATGAATTTTTTGTTATGTTCTAGTACAACATTGCATAGCCATATCAGTTTTCTATAAGCAAAGTTTTTAGTCAATCATGGTTTTCTATATTTTATTTTATTTTTTTTTAATTCCATCGAATTTTTGATAATAACCATGTTCTTCTGAAAATTTTGCAAATAATTTTATTTTTAATTTTTTATCTACAAGCATATTTTGCCCTTTTTCGTTATAACGTTACAAAAAAAAAAAAAAAAAAATGATTTCATCTACAAAACGTTTTCATTACTATCATGTATAATAGTTATTCACGCAATCTAAAGGATGGTATAGTTTTTAAGCTTTTTTGTTATTTTGAAATATCGGCGTTTACTTTATCGAAACTTAAACAAATGCTTATAAATGGTTTACCGCAATTGCAATATATTTCTGTTAACATTACACATATCTATTACTGAGTCATTAATGCTAACATAGTTTTTTTGAATCATAATTAGAGTTTAAATTTAAATGTATTAAAAATCATAATCAAATAAAAAATTCACTATAAAATAACCAAAAATACCCTTAAAAAAAGCATTTTATCATGAAAATGTCCTTTAAAAAAAAAATTTTACCATGAAAATGAAGCATATGTTTTTTTTTTCAATGTATCATTTTATTAAACTAATAAATACTAATAAATTATTAGATAATTTATAATTTTATTAAAAAAAAAAATGAAAATTTAAAATGTTGACTTGTGACTGGCGAAGATGGCATTGATTGAGGAGTTTATTTGAAGTGGCAAATATCGTCTGATAAAAATTTTTCTAATATGTTTGTTAGAGAGATTTATTTACATTCTAAAATGTTTGAAATTTTTTCCATTATAGAATAACCATAATTATTTTTTAAGATATTCTTTAATTTTTGCTTTATTGCTTTTTCATAATTACTTGTATTAAAATTCATGTGTCGATATTTACGACACCAAGTGTCTCAGCTAAAGGTATAATTTTAGAAGTTACACAGCTTAGCATATTTCCATGATTGGTTTTTATAAATATTAAATTTGATTACATTTGTTAGACTGTCATTACATGTTTTGCTTTCTTGATAGCTATGGTTAGGTAGTATAGCTTGTTTTCTTCAAATCCATTGATTACTATTTTAATACTCGTAAATTTAAAATATCCACAGTAATATACTGTTACTTCTATCCTAGTTTTCAGCGCGTTTGTATTGGTTGAGTTCAGAGTTGGGCAAAAACAAATCAAAATAATGAATAAAGAATAAAATTATTCTGAATAGTTTTATTCGTTAATAAAACAATTATTCAGAATAAATTTATTCGTTAAAATCATGAATGATATTAAATATAAAAGTATAATTAATTTATTTTTGTCAATTATTATATATATATTAATATATATTACCTTTATATATATTATTTAAGTCTAAATAATAAGTATATTATCACTATACATCGTTATTTTGGATTTAAATTTATTATTTATATG